TTCCACAGTGGGGTGTAAAATAAGATCATTCAAATATTGGCTATCGATTTTAAATTAAGATCAATCTTTAAACTGTGCATGAATCAATGAAATAATCCAAATCACCAGAGAATATTTAGATATTCAGAAAATTAAAAACAACTCTTATTGTGGAAACAGTCCGTAAATTGACGATTCAATTAAATTCGTAAAAAAGAAAAAAAATCTTCTTGTCCCAACAAACGCAAATGAGAAGAAATAAAGATGTCAGCTTCACCACAGCTCGAGTGTTTTAAAATAATTCATTTATTTACTGAACTTTATATAACTTCACATCTAATGTACATTTCCGTCAACATCGCACAGTAATAAAACTTCAGTCCCTTTAATTTTTGAGTTTGGAGTTTTAGTGGGAGTGAGAGTTTCTGCTGTGCGTCATAACTGAACATTTAAAATGTGTCGACGTGTTTCTCTTCTCAACACGGACAGTGACATTAATTCTTCTGAGGTAGATTCACTTCGTTCAGTCAGAAAGTTTACAGCCAGTCTGACTGAAATGCTGCAGTAAAACCATTATAGTGTTTTATGCTTTAATACCAAATTCAACGGGATGAAACCGTGACTGAAAAAACGTCTCCCCTCAAAAAACTGTTATTATCATCTCACACCAACGAGCTCATTCACTGACCTGTAAATTAATGTCTTTAAACATGAAACAACATTTTCACGTGATTCTATTTAACACGGATCATCTTTCGTTTTGTTATGAACATTTTTTTTTTTTTTTGCAGATGAGACACTTTTTTAAAAATAAAATACTTTCAGACCAGATAATTTTAAAAAAATAAACATTTTCAAATCTAACAACCAAATATTTTGGCGGTGGATAAAATGTACTGCGCGCAGCCAACACGCGGCAAAATTTGGTTGTTAAATGTGGATTGTGTAAAAACGCTTCTGTATGAAAGTTAATTAAATAACTGAGCCTGAAACCTGCGCTCTGGTTTGATAAAGGTCGATCAGACGAAGTAGTAAAGTCTTAAAACAATTTATGTTGAATGTTAAATGTACATTTGGCACAATTACGCGCCATGGAACGAGTTTTGCGGACTATAAATTTGAACTTAATGCTAATTTTATTTTTGCACCTTTGCAGTAAATTTCTTTGAGACCTTCTCTACATCGATCGTCTTACCATCTGTTTATTTTCTGATCAGAAACATTAACACAACAACAACAACAACAACACATCTGCACACTTGTTCTTTGAGGGGAGACTTTTCTTCTTCGTGTGTCAACATGTGGTTTTATACAGTACCGGAGGTGGAGACATCAAAAAGCAGAAATACCACAAACAGCAAACACCTACAGTCACATGTGTGTGTCCACGTCACACCAGGAGAACATCAGATCAGTAAAAACAGAAATAAAATTAAAAAAGAGGCCTCCGCCGTTCACCTCGTTTGCGCGTCGTCCTTTAATTCTCTCCATTTTGCGCATCAATGTGTGTGCACAGCGGTGCGTTCAGGTTCAGTCAGTCAGTCAGTGGTTTTTTTAATCTGATTTGAATCCAGTCTGTGAAGAGGTTTGGGTGATGAATGAGGGATGGATGGATGGATGAAGGGGTGGATGGAGGGAGGGATGGAGGGAGGAAGGGTCACTGGTTGAGCTCCAGGGCCCAGACCTGCTGCGGCCAACCGGTGCGGCCCTTCACCTTCTTCTCGGCTCCTAAAGAGTCCTGCAGGCCGTCGGTCTGTGGGAGGAGGGGAACCAAAACAACACACACACACACGCGAGGATGAAATACATGAAATACCTCAGTTTGCAGAATCCTACATAGTTTAGTGAGAATTACTACTTCAGTCATATAAATACATGATAAATATCAAGTTTACTCTGAGTCTGAATCTTATTACACTGGAAAATCCTGCAGGAAAATACACAGATATTAGTCTGTGCAAGCTCAACTAAAGACTGAACTTAATTTATTAATAATTATGAAACATAATAAAGCAAATGTTATGTCAATATAGGCTGATATTAAATGATACTTATACATGTGGCACTAAATCTATTTTTCATTTGACTCAAACTCAATATCATCGTCTTTGAAATAAACACATAACACATGTTCCATTCAAAACCGTGCATTAGTGAAAACCCCATTTATCGACCTGCGTGTTGTAAAGTTATTTTAAAGTGGAAATAATATAATGTATACGTGTGTTTGTGGATGTGTAGCTGAGGCTGGATGTTGTCACGGTGCTGAGCAGCTGGAAATACTTTATGCATGAGCTGTTTTACTGCTGCGTTACAACATGTGACCGAGTGATCTCATCTGTGCATGAAGATTTAAAATCCAAAAACACTGATTTTTCTAACGAGGTGTCGGAGTTAAATTTCAGTAGAAATACAGTGTGAGCCTCATTAATGAGGTACACGCAGTTTCCATAATTACAGTGAAGCATAAGCAACAGGAACTCCATAATAATTACCTTAATATGGTCCATGTTTTTATATGAAGTGGCAAATAACAGTCAGGATTTTGGCTTAAAATGTAATATAATCATATTTTGTGTTGCACAGTTCAAATTGCTTCTATTTTTAGAATAAAATCAGAGGTCGGTCCTGATGGTGAAAACAAGAGATCATGTTTTAAATTGAGTCTAAATCAAAAATGTACTTATACTTCTAATAAATAACATATTGAAATCCTCAAACATCCAGTTTATATGTAAAAGAATCATCTGTAATTACAGGGGAATATTTTGGCTGCAGTGATTTCCCTCGGAGCCTCGTGAACTCACCAGCTCTCGTTTCCTTTTCAGATCCCGGGTTTCAAATTTCTTAATCTCGGCCTTAAAGCCCTCCGTCTCCCCGGAGTCTTTGGCCAGGACGTCCATCAGGTAGGCGATGTAACTGGTCGCCAGGCGTAAAGTTTTGATTTTTGACAGTTTCGTGTCCGCCGGGACGTTGGGGATGCACTCCCGCAGCTCGGCGAAGGCTGTGTTGATGCTCTCCGTCCTCCGACGCTCCTTCTTCGGCCCCGACGCTCTCCTCTTCCCCATGCCCGCCTGGAGCCCCTCCAGCCGCGCGTCGTGCGTCGCTCCGGGAGCCCCGAGCTCCGCGGCCGGGTAGGGTGCCTGGATCTGGAAGTCCGGGGGCACCTCGCCGTGATTTACCACCCAGCTCTGGAAGTACGGCGCGTCCTGATGGCACCGCTGGACGAACGGGAACGGTTCGTGCATCAGGTGGTGGTGATGCTGGTAACCCCCGATGAGGTTCATGTTGAGCGGGAGAGGAAATTACACCGTTACCGTGGGTCTCTCTCTGCTGCTGCGGCCCCAAAACGGTCAGTGCTCGGGGATCTGCAGCCAACGGGACTCATTCAACATTTATTCCCTCGGATTCATGAAGAAGTCGAACAAAGCGCCGCCACAGACGTTTACATCGTCGTCATTCTGGAAGCGACTTCAGCCGAGGCCGTGAAAAAGTTTATAATTCCTGAGAACGAAAATCTCGGCGATGTTTCTGAGCTCCACTTGCGTCTAGATAGTTTCCCGAAGAGGCTGCTCTGATTCGACCAAGAAATTTGACCCCGGCGAAGGTGTGAGGCCCCCAGGTTTATATGATTTGGATGTCAGCGTGGAGAGGAGGCAGCCAATGGAGGAGAGCGCCCAGAATGGGAGGAGAGTCTGGAGAGCTTTGTAATAACATGCGCCATGGTGCCATAATCTCAAGGCACTGCACACACACATAGGAGCAAATATGTGCTCGATGGAGTTGATGCTTGGCTGCACAGAGGAGCTCATAAGAGTAAAAAAATGTGTCAGACTTTGGAGCTCTTCTGGGCTTTGTGAGTTTGAAGGTCTCCTCTCAGGTTTGGAGAGGTTTTACGCACGGAATTTACGCATCGTCTGTCCAGACATACCTGTTCAATTAGGTGCTTCTGCACTTCAAATCAATATGTTACGTATCAACTTAAGGTCGATGACGATGGGATATTTGACTGTATGGGGATTTAAATATGTTATAGGGAAATTAGGATAGGATTGTGGTGGTGCGCACACATGCATTTAAAAAAGACACTTCAAAGATTCTTGCTTTTGACAAAATCAAATAGAAATATTCATAATATCTGAATAGACTTTAAAAACAAACTTTCTTTTTGGTTTTTAGTCTGATTTATTTTTAATAAGTGAAAGAATAATGGAAGAAAAAGAGAAGCGTCAGCGTTTATCTCATCCTGCGTAAACGTGTGGCTGCGCGTAATTGTTTTACTTTGAGAATATGGCATTATTATTATTATTCAGTTTCCCTCTCAATGTTATCATCAGCTCTGTAATGCTTGTTTAAGTGTTTTATTAATATTCTTTATTTTCTCAAACGCGTCATGTTGTTTCCAAACGTCTGGATTTGGAGGTTATTATCAGAGCGAGTTAATCTGAGGAGATGTTATCCACCTCTCCTCCTCCAGGAATAACACGAGGTGCATGTGAGACGTGCAAATGAAAAGCTTGATGAATTGTTCGGTTGTTTTGGGACAGAACCTCAGCGGTGTGAGGAGAAGAAGAAAAAGGCCCGTGAGCGTCTGTGTCTGCGCGTTAATTCTCCCGCAGCTCCTCGGACACCGAACACTAAACACCATCTTATCTCCATCGCCTAAAAACATTATCCCATTACATACATGACCTTGACGCTATTTAGAAACCATTTACGACCGCGTCTTATCTAAATACAGTCATAAATCAGGAGGTGTCACCTTGCAGAGGAGTTGCATGTACATGTTTTCCATAAAAGCTCCTCCGGCCTGCGCACTGTTTACAGCGCGGCGCTCTGCAGCATATTTCACCGTCAGGCCGCGTTACAATGAAAAATCTGCACTCACACACTCATGTCGCTCGTTTAACACAAATCTGCAGCAGGAAAATACAATAATGTGCTTTTTGTTTCCCATATAAATGCGTGAATGTGTTTATTTTGTGTCTCCTTTTATATTAGGTTCATATTTGGATAGTTTCATAGCTTTTTTTTAAATGAGCTTATGGTTTTTATTCCCATTTCTTTATTCTAAATCCTTCAGAATTTAATTATCAACCAGTAAAATCAGCTGCAGTCACCATTTTGTTTTATTTATCTCCCATACGCATGTTTTTCTTCTGTTTTTTATTGGCTTTGATTTCAGGCTATGAGACCACGCAGCTTCTAATATGACTACAATAGAAATACCCTACAAAATAACACGTCCTCACTTTTAGTTTGCTGACACTGAAGTATTCGGTTTATTTCTTGAAGTATCCAACATAACACGTGTGAACTTTGACTCTATTCTGATTTATTTGTGTATTTATTTTTTACCTGGATCGTTCAGAGCTGTTGTGTTGTTGTTGTTTTTGCAGTGAAATCCACATTTAAAAGTAAAAGAAAAAAGTGTGAGTGGCTCATAAAATGCATTGTTGTAGTTTAAATTACCCAAAGAGTTTTTACACCACCTGGAGCAGCTTCAACACTAAAACGCTGCTCTCACTTTAAACGCGTCATTAATTTAACAACCTGAAGTGAGTCATTCTTCATACTGAGCTGCTCTGACTTTTGGCCATTTGAAATATTCTGCAGGACTTTCACATTTTGTGAAAAGCCCTTTTTTTAATCCGTGTTGCGCTTTTCAAAATAAAGCACTTCATAGGAGAATATAGTGGAGAAATCAACACAATCATAGAAATGACAGATGAAGGGAAACAAAAATGCTATACTGTAATATACTATACACGACTCAAATGAATGCAGAACAAATCACAACATAAGAGGCAAAGAAAGACTCCTCATAACCTCAACCAGAAGGTCGGCAGTTCAATCCCCAGTCTTCCCCATCTATGCCGAAGTGTCCTTGGGCAAGATGCTGAACCCCGAATTGCCCCTCATAGAACAATAAGTGCTCTTTGAGTGGTCATCAAGACCAGAGAAGCTCTTTATACATACAAACCATTCACTGCAGCAGAAATAAATTGGAAATGTGGCTCTTCAATTTATGACCCATCAGTTTTTCCAGGAAACACATGGCAAACGATCAAAGAAAGAAAATGATCTGACTAAAGTAGTTTATATTTCTACAATATCTCTTGTATTTTAAAAGGTGTACTTTTATTTATCTTATCAGACTGTATAGTATTTGTGTGCATCCTTCAATACTGCTATAATATTCCTTTATTTCTCCATAAATACGCGATTATCCTTATTATATCTTGTGTCTAAAATAAATTGATTATAGATTTAGATTTTGTCTCGATGCTGCGTTGACCGGAAATGTGAAAAACTATGGTAATATAAAAATGATTGCAGTTTCTCAGAGTTGGTTTGGAGGCCTGTATTTTATTTTGTAAAGGAGGAAATTCACTGCTCCTGCACACTCAGACTTTATCCGTACAGGATGTGAGGTGATTTACAGGTGACTCCTTTATTGATTTAAAAAATGTCAAATGGTTCTGATGAAACCCTGCGTGACACATTTTTACCTGTTTACATATTTTGGATGCAGAGTGAAGACACGTCCTCGTCTCCATCACACGTTACCTCGGCTGTCAGCATGAAAAACTCCATGCGGCCTCCAGAAAGAAAACCTGACACTGTTGATTAAGACGTCCACTACGCAGAGTTGAAATACAATACTGGTCATACCCTCCCCACCTCTTTACTCTTTCTCTCCATCTCCCCCTATCACTTTCTCCTCCACTTCTTCTTCCACCTCTTTCCTTCAGTTCATCACAGACCTTTAACCAAAACCTTCCCTCTTTTTTGATGTCCTCCTCCCCCCCCCCCCCTGTTTCTTTTTATTCTCAGGACTTGCTATCGCTGGAGGTGCTGAAAGACCTGGGCAGCAGTAATAGTCTCTTCATATTTTGCTTTCAACCCCAATAGACTGCAGTCATCTCTTTCTTTCTCTCCGCTGCGCTGCCATGCAGGGGAAACATCCAAAATAGGTCACAGGGAGCCATCTTGGCCGTGTTATGAATTCTCCTCATGATTGTTTGTGTCATCATGTAGATTTTTCAATAGACACTGCTTCCCTCCTCTTCAGAGTTCCTGCCCTCAACTCTACATTTCCAAACAAATATTCCCCCTGATTCAAAGCCGACCATGCTCGGCACGGAAACCGCTGCAGAGCACGCTCAGCCCCGAGTGTTTATCATACAGGGGCTCTTACAGTAATATATATATATATATATATATATATATATATGAACCTCTGGCAAGCACTGACACCGTCACGCAAAGCTAATTAAACCCATTGGGTTTAGAATTAGACATGGCGGCTCCTCCTCATTCTGGGAAACGTGGGCAAACTGGGTCATGCCATGCAGGACCAGGAGGCGCTCAGAGGCCCAGTGCATGATGGGAGAGCTGCGTCCTCTCTCTCTCTCTCTCTCTCTCTGCAGGCCAGCATGGATAAAGGCTAAGATGCTAAATGTGACCTTTACCCTCGACCTTTATCCTGATCTGAGCTCAGGTTCACACTGAGGTCACATCTCATCTAATCCACCTAATAAAAGATGATTCTGGAGAAACAGTGAGATTCTGTGAGAGAAAGAAACTCCAGTGAAACTGTTCCTGAGCTCTGATCTGGTTGTTAAATGTGTCTGATTGACACCTCGCTTTACTTTTAACTTGTTTTTACTTTTCTTTACTTTTAACTTTCGTTGCATCTGATGGATTGTAAAGTCGTAAATCACAATTATCACCGTTAGTGGTTTGGTAGAGAAACAGTCTGTTATGCATATTAAGTTTTTATTTTTTATTTACTTTTTGAGTTTCTCTCCGTCAGACCTCCGTCTCCGTTCCAGAACAGTTGTGGTAAATGGCTTTTTATTTGTGGCGCATTGGGCACAATAACAGGATACTAGAAATAGACGTTGCTGTTTATTTTTGTTTCTTAAGTATTTTTGCCAATTTACTCGTCAAGAAAGTGAATCTGCTTCGTTTTTCTTTTCATTTGCTTTGATCCGTTAAGATTCCCTCCAGCTTGAATTTACTTTGTTTGTTATCGAATCATCCTCAGAAAACTGTTTTCTCTCAGTTTCCCTTGATGAGAGTTTAAAATGACTACAACAACCTTCGTCCTCTGTCATCGTCAATCTATCATCTTTTATCTTTCTATTTCTTTTTTCCATTACTTTTAACCGCACTGTTGTGTTTTATAACCATCACACTTCACCTCCATGATCCAGGTTCATCAGCAATCAATCGTTTACTCTCAGATCTAATATCTAATATTCTAATATCCCCTAATTTCCCGTCTGAACTCCTGTGAAGAGACAAACACTGAATATTCTGCCATTTGATCTAATTTAGTTTTGTGTGTAACTCAAACCAGCACACACACAGTTTACTGATGCAGATGTGATTTGAGATCTTATTTGTTTGAGGTTTTAGTTTGGTGAAAATCTTGTTTGGTTAACGCTGATTTATGTTTTTGTGATTTCACTCGGAGTCGTGGTTCAGTGGTTTGCTTTGGTTTAAAGTAAAGAATGATTTGAAAAGATAAATTCTGGTTCAGGTTGATGCAGAATATCGTCAGAATATCATGTTGTCTTTTCCTAAGTGTACGATCA